GTCCTACTACAAGTATTCTTCATTTTTTTTAATTAAATTCCTTTTACATCCTAATCACAGTTCTCCTTCCATCCCCTCCTCCTGAACCCGCATACATCCCTCCTACCCCATGGCCAAAGGGTAAGGCCTCCCATTGGGAGTCAACAAAGTCTGCCATACCAAGCTGAGGCAGGACCAAGCCCTTCCCCCCTGCATCAAGGCTGAGCAAGGCATCCTACCCTAGGGAATGGGCTCCAAAAAAAGGAGTCATGCACCAGAGGTAGATCCTGGCCCCACTGTCTGTGGCCCCACAAAGAGACCTAGCCACACAACTGTCACCTACATGTAAAGGGCTTAGTTCAGTCCCATGCAGGCTCCCCAGCTGTTGGCCCCATGTCCTTTAGCTCCCACTCATTCTGGTCAGCTGTGTCTGTGGGTTTCTCCTTCATGATCTTGCTTATATAATTCCTCCTCCCTCCCCTCCACTGAACACCCTGAGCTAGACCCAGTGTTTGGCTGTGGACTTCAATATCTGCTTCTATCAGTTACTTGATAAATGTCCTAGGATGGCAATTAGGGTAGTTACCAATCTGATTACAGGAGAAATCCAGCCAGTTCAGGCACCCTCTCTACTCTTGCTAAGTGTCTTACCTGAGGTCATCCTTGTGGATCCCTGGGAATTTTCCTGGCTCCAGGTTTCTCCTTAACCCATAAAGACCTGCTCTACCATGACATCTCTTTCATTACACTCCCCCTCCATCCCACTCACAACTCGACCACCATATTCCCTCATGTTTCCTTTTTACTTTCATATCACATATATTGTCAATCCCTTTGATCCTCCTTTGAAGACTCATTTTATCCCTCTTATGGAATATTTTCTGATTTTGGAGTCTCTATCCATACTCATTTCAGAGAGAGAGAGAGTAATGAAAGGGATGTCATCATAGAGCAGGTCTTTATGGGGTTAAGGAGAAACTTGGAGCCAGGAAAACTGCCAGGGATCCACAAGGATGACCTCAGATAAGACACTTAGCAAGAGTAGAGAGGGTGCCTGAACTGGCTTGATTTCTCCTGTAATCAGATTGGTAACTACCCTAATTGCCATCCTAGGACCTTTATCAAATATCTGATGGAAGCAAATATAGAAGTCTATATGAAGATATAGAAGTCCACAGCCAAACACTGGCTGATCATATATCTCCATTATGAATGGAGGTATAGTGACACGAGGGACTCAATTTGAGAAAAAGAATAATAAAAATCACCTACCTGCGTAGGTGTACCTACCAGCTTGGTGTGGCAAATGCAGGTCCCTAGTAGAAGGTCTTTTGGATGCTAGTGGCTTAATCAAGGAAATAGAAATAGGCTAGAAGGGAAGCTGAGACAATCCACAGGAAAGAGCCAGGAGCAAAGCTGAGGCTGTACCAAGAGCCAGAATCTCCAGAGAAGGTAAAATGATCTGCGAGAGCAAGAAGAGAACACAGGATGTGAACCAACCCATTTAGGAGTTTATTAGCGGGGGAAAGTGCACACAGGTCTGGGAAAAGCGGTGTAGGGGGGGAGAGGGAGAGAGGGAGAGAGGCTGCCTCACTGAGTGGCGTACAGAGAGAGTAAAGATGGCACATCCAGCTTTTAAAAGCTGCCTAGAACATACGCACATGGGGAAAGACATGGCTACATCACACACTGATGACGGGCGACCCACGCCTTGCACAAAGGCACAAAGGGTTTGTGTGAGTACGTCACACGCTGATGACACAGATGATGGGCAATTCATGCATGAACTCAAGGATTTTAGTTGAGTCATATGTGAGGTAACCACGCCTGTGCGCACATGGGTCACGCGGGACCCTTTGTTCCCAAGGGTCTTCCCACATGTGCCCGCCTTTAGGACCCGAAAGTGCAGCCTTATGGGTGGCAGAATAATTACAGAAGGAAGCATTAATATTGCTTTAATCCCAATTTTATAGGATTATTACTTATTAATTAATTAATATAATTAATACTTGGAAAGATAAATTATTTGTTCAATATGACTTATCTAATAGATAGCTATGATAGCACTTAATGTAAACATTTCAATCCCATAGACTGTTTTTTTCTGATACCTTATGCTCCCCACTCCCATGTTACAAACTGTGGCTAGAACATCATAAGGGAAAGAAAGTCTAATGCTATAGTATTAATGATAATATCTGACCTAATAGTATAACATTTAAAATGAGGATAAGTGAAAAACTTATGAATTGTATGAAATTATTGAGAACAAGTCAGGAAAATGGACTGGCTTTGTTTGTAATAGTAGTGGTTTGCTTCTTTGTTTCATTACCTTCTCCTCAAATAATAATGGGCATATATTATATTTTTAGTTTCATACTATAAATTAAGTTACATATGTATTATATTTATATATTTAGTATGTTTATAATGCATTTTCATCTACATATGTCTCTCTATCCACTCATTTCTTGTTTCTTAAAATGATCAATCATAGATTTACATCTTTGCTTTGAAATATGTAAAACTTGATTCTCTAGTAGTGCAACTGCTTAGCTTGTGATACTTACATGAAATATTGTGAGCTTATGTAGGGTTCATCTTTGTAAGACTTTTAGGTTCTAAATATCTCTATGAAATATAAAATATCTTCCAAGTATCTCATTAGTCATTATAACTGAATAAAATTCTGAATTAGCTTGTATTTAGAGAAATTATTTTGATGTTAACCGAACTGATCCAAGGAAAACTTAGAAAAAAAATCACTTCTGATCACAAAATACCAAATATCCATTTGTCTCTATTGAGACTATATTCTACTATTTTAATAACTACTAGTAATAACTAAAAAAATATTACACGGTAAATCATTAGAGGAGAGGAAATATTAAAATCTGGTGAGTTACCAGCAAAACATTTGAACAAAAATTAGTGAAAGTGAGACGGGAGCTAGTTGAGTCATGAACAAGCATGATTTTTGGGAAAGGCTAAGTGAAGACAGTGAGCATTAGAAAAGAAACTAATATTTTTAAAAAGTCCATTCGATGAAGAAATGGTCTTTCAAAAACGGGTGCAGTCAATTCATAGAAAACAGAAGTCTATTTTAGCCTTAATTTTTATTATATTTTAAGTATTGTTTTCATTGAAATGCAAACACATGACTTTCTCCTTCCTTTCTACCCTCCAGGCATTCCTGTCTCCCCTTCCTAAAATACCTCTCATTCCCACTATTCTCAAGTTGGCAACCATTTATTGACTATTATTGTTACATTCATTAATGTGTTTAAATGTGTTTGCACATTATATATAACTACAAGCTATTGAGTCGATTTTTGTTATTGGTGTGTATATTACTTTTAAGCCTGATCATACTGTGTTAGAGAATCCATAAGGGGCCTCATGCATGGAGTAAGCTAATTCAACTTCCAATAGTCAATAGTTGCTTATAGTTCCTGTACTTCTGACAGAGAACTCATATTCAGAATATACAAACTCAAGAATAAAGTGTCAAGAAAGCAATTAAGCCAATTAAACTCAATTAAAAATAGGCTAGGGATCTATGAGTTCTTCATAAAATAGACTATTTTTGTTTGCTTGTTTTTTGGTTTTGTTTGTTTTTAGTTTTTTTATATTGTAAATAGATTCTTCCCTCAGACAATACATCCCAACCACAGTTTCTCTTCTCTCTTAACTCCCCTCATTTCCCCTCTCCCCCAGAGCCAATCCTCCCTCCATTCTTCTTCAACAGCTAGACAGGACAAAACAAAATGCAATAAAACAAGACAAAAATCTTCATATCAAGGCTGGTCAAGACAAACCAATAAGGAGAAAAGAGTACCAAGATCGGACAAAGAGTCAGAGACACACCTGCTGCCACTGATAGGAGTTCAACACTAAGTTAACAGCCATAGTATACATGCAGAGGATCGTGCTGATTGTGGCTTGAGCTTCTGTGAGCCCATGTGAGCCCTTTTTAGTTGATTCTGTTGTGTTATCCTGATATCCTCTGTCCCCTCTGAATCCTATAATCTTTATGACCCCTGTTCTGCCAGATTTCATAAGATTTCCTAAGGAAAGCAACCCAACGGAGACATGTAATTTAGACATTTGCTGCATAATGACTGGTTGTGGGTCTCTGTACAGGAGCCTATCTGTTGCCAGAGAGAGCCTCTCAGATAATAAGAAAGTACTCACTGTTCTAATAATCTATAAGTACAGCAGCAGAATATCATTAGGAATCATTTAACTGCCTTTTTTCCCCATGATTGTTTGGTTCTATTCTAGGTCTCTGGGCTACGCAATCTTCAGTTCCTGGCCATCCATTCAGTGTAGGGCATGGGTGTGCCTCAAGCTAAATCAAACATTGATTGACTTCTTCACATGTTCTAGATCACCAATGCCCCACCATGTCTTGAATGCCTAATGGATTGTCAAGTGTTTTATGGTTGAATTGATGTCCAAGTTTCTCCTTCCATAGATTGCAGAGTACCTTCTCACACAAAAAAAGACTAGAATGTAGGGGTGAAGTATGACTTGAATATATGAAAAAGAATGTCACAACAGTGCTGGTAAATGTGACATATAGACATATTTTAGAAAGATGGGCATGTCTTTTCCATCTATATCTATACATCTATATCTATCTACCTATCTCTCTGAATATTATTGAAGATATTATTTTAAATTAACTCTAAACATAATAGTTATAACTATAAGAATTAAAGAAATAGCACAAATATAGGGTGATATTATATTTTATGGATTGTATTTATATAGAGAGAAATACTAGTTGTAATGTTCTAAATAAAATACTGTGACTCTTCATTTGAATAGAAGTTTAGGCAGAAATAATGATAAAATATTTATTATCATAGAGAAAATTTTAATGTAATTTACTCAAGAATGTTATATATAGAAGTCATGACTAGATTTCTACTAGACATTATATTATGTATTAGAAGATCAAAACATATAAAATGATGATATGATAAATCATATTTTCATTTTCACTTAACTTTTAGACTGTATGCTGAAGAACCTGAAGAAATGAATATCAGTTATGAGGATCATTTCCGTTCTCAAAACCATGCAAATCATACTCTCTGTAAAATGGAAAAGTATTTGAAAGAGAAAAAATTGTGTGATGTGCTACTTATTGCTGGACCTCTCAAGATTCCAGCTCATCGGTAAATATTATGATGTAGACAGAACATGCAAAGAAAGCAAGTGTGAATGAGAATGAATCTGTAAACTTATTATAAATTATATGGTGGAGAAATCACTTTTACTTTGAAATATTGAAAAATTATTATTATTTGCCCAACATCTAATAAAGCCATAATTGGAGATTTCATGATGCATACAAAATACCAAAACCTCTGAAAAGATCAGTCTACTTAACTGCCCTTTTAACTTTAGTAAAATTTAATTAAATATTAAATAAAATTTCATAAATTTAATACAAAATATTGTGATAATTTATATGTATGTTTTGAGACAGAATATTTTTATGTATCCCAGTCTGGCCTGGAAACTAGGTCAGACCAAGCTGACCTAGAACTCACAGAATCTGCCTAGCTCTGTCTCCCTGGAATTGATGGCATTCACAACCAGGCATGGGAATTTTGAACATTTAATGAAGAAAGCAGACTGACACGTTTCACAAACTTATTAAAAACATTGTATGATTATTTGTGATGTTGTTGATTGATATAAGTATTGATTTAACTTGTATGGTTCTAGATTGGTTCTCAGTGCTGTGTCTGACTATTTTGCTGCAATGTTTACTAACGATGTGCTTGAAGCCAGACAAGAAGAGGTCAAGATGGAAGGAGTAGATCCAAATGCACTTAATTCTTTGGTGCAGTATGCTTATACAGGTAAGCTCTCATTGTGAATTAACTAACATTAACTTTACATTATACATCATGCATTATAGTTATTTGTGCTCTACAAAAATGGAAATATACCATTTAGCAATTAAAGAATTTTCCAAAACTGGAAAATTTAAAAGGACAAAATAATGAATTAATCACCATAATGTAAAATATAATGAATGTGCTGTTAAATATTGCTACCATGAGAGGAGAGGGATATTTTAACATAAAATGCAAGATTGTGTCTTATATGGGCTAAAAGTGTGGAGTAATTTATCTATATTAATTTTAATTATGTGTGCTTGGTGAGGAGGCTATGTGCATCTGATTGTAATTTCCATTGGGGAAAGAAGAGATTATTGGATCATGGAGCTGGAGTTAAGGTCATTTGTAAGTTCTTGAACATGGATAATTGATTAAAAAGATAGAACAGTTATAAATATAAATACAGCGTCCATCTGATTACAATAGAGTAAAATCAGAAATGGATAAAAGAAACACAGAAACTATACAAACACATGAGCATTTACCATCATATTATTAAATAATTAATGTATCAACACAGACATCAAGAAGGAAATTAAAAGCCGGGCGATGGTGGAGCACGCCTTTAATCCCAGGACTCGGGAGGCAGAGGCAGGCGGATCTCTGTGAGCTCGAGACCAGCATGGTCTACAAGAACTAGTTCCAGGACAGGCTCCAAAGCCACAGAGAAACCCTGTCTCGAAAAAACAACAACAACAACAACAACAAAAAAAAAAAAAACCCAAACAAACAAACAAACAAAAAAAAAAAGGTGAGCATCCAAACTGCCTAAGCTCCCACAAATCCAATAGGTGCAGTAGGATCAAAAACCCATTGCCATTGTTCTTGAGGTCTCAGTAGTCCTCATTGTCCGCTATGTTCGGCGAGACTGGTTTTAACCCAGGCAGTTTGGATGCTCACCTTTCTAGACCTGGATGGAGGTGGGTGGTCCTCGGACTTCCCACAGGGCAGGGAACCCTGAGTGCTCTTTGGGCTGACGAGGGAGGGGCACTTGATTGGGGGAGAGGGAGGGAAATGGGAGGTGGCGGTGGGGAAGAGACAGAAATCTTTAATAAATAAATAAATAAATAAGGGAAGAAGAAGAAGGAGGAGGAGGAGGAGGAGGAGGAGGAAATTAAGACATTCCTACCTTCAATGGAAACATAACATACTAGAAACAGTGGGATAAAACAAAAGAAGCTTAAGTAGCAAAAAATTATCACTATATGTGTTTATATAAAATGTTAGAGAAATCTCAAACAACATAATGAACAATACAGGCATCACAACAATTTAATTACATTATTAGTAATCATAAATCAAAAATTAAGATCAGGATATACATTAAATAGATAAGAATAATACAGAAGGAGGGATCATTTAAACAAAGAGTTGGGTCTTTTAAAATAAACAAGTTTAATAAGATTAGAAAGGAAAGGGAAAACATCACAGGAGAGACAATCAAACTCAGAGAATCATTAGAACATAATTCAAAGATAAATATTTCAATAAATTGGAAAAACTAAAAGAGATGGATAAATTGTAAGCACACATCAATTACTAAAATTAAGTTGAGTTAATGTAAAAAATACTTTAATAAATCTAAAACGCGTAATGAAAAAAGTGCTACACAATAAATACCAAAACTGAATACAAAACAAAAATATAGTTATAGGTCAAACTCCATGATCAGCATGGATGAAGACAGTCTTGATAACATTTCAAGTTCAATAACATAAAAAAATGTTAATTGCCATGATCAAGTTGACCCAAGGGAAGAATATGAGCATACAAAAATGTGTCTGCAAGTGATATATTAGTTATTGTTAGTCATAATTATAAATAATGAAAAATCAGAATATTTATAACATGAAGAAACATATAGATTAGTTAGATAATATGGACTGTTAATAGGCAATGAAACATGAAGGAAACACTGATAGATTCTCCGGTTGAAATGAATTTTTAAATGCCATGTTAGTTGAAGGAAAACTACTATAAAGATTATTTATTATAGGATTCCATAGTTGCAAGAGTATAAGAGAAGTCAGCAGCTTAAAAATATAGGATGTAATTACACTTTCCTTTTTCTAAGATACTAGTGGTTCTCCCCAGTTTAAGAAATAACACAATAAAATATGTAGACTTACTGCACACCTTGGAAAATATTATAGCTCAGAGGTTAAGAGCACTTGCTGCTCTTCCAGAGGTCCTGAGTTCAATTCCAAGCAACCACATGGTAGCTCCCAACCATCTGTAATGAGATCTGGTTCCACTGGCCTGCAGGCATACACGGAGGCTGAACACTGTGTACATAATAAATAAATAAATCTTAAAAAATATACTAACTTACCATTCGTTATAATATTCACTATTCATTTGCTGCATTCATTTTGTTTAATCTTGTCTGACAGCCTTTTTCCTTCTTTATTTGTATGTACACAAAGACTCCATTGTATTTCTGCCTTAAACCATATTCTGAAAGAAGCTACTGAACAACAAAAGACATAGATGCCCTACAAAGGCCAACAAAAATGTCGCCTAAAATATCTGTGTCTTATTTGATGTGATATGTAATTGTTCTCTACTAATTCAAACCATTTAGGTGTGCTACAACTGAGAGAAGACACCATTGAAAATTTGCTGGCTGCAGCATGTCTCTTACAACTGACTCAAGTCATTGATGTCTGCTGCAATTTCCTCATAAAGCAACTTCATCCTTCAAACTGCCTAGGGATTCGCTCATTTGGAGATGCCCAGGGCTGTGTGGAGCTCCAGAATGTGGCACATAAGTACACCATGGTAAAATAATTTGTTTCAAAGTAACTGATTGTAATAATATATACTTTCTCTGATGAAACTGAAAGCCTATATAAACTTACATAATTTTCATGTAATGTGTACAATATCAATAATTAAAAAAAAATTGTTCAGGTGAATAATACTCAAAATTTTTACTTTAGAACTAAAATGGAGTTTTACTAAATCTCTAAACTACAGAGAATTAAAATACTGCTCATTCTTAAATTGAACAACTCTGTATTTCTAATTGAATATACTGCATAACCTTTTCAATAATTAGCAACTTATTTTGTAAATTTGGACAAATTAGGATTTCTATTAAAATTATATATTATTCAATTTTAAAAAGTGAATACAACTCAGTTTATAGATTGTTTGTTTATCATGTACAACATAGTTGGTATAATTCCCAGGCCTTTTATAAACTGGGCATGGTGGTTAATAGCTGCATTCTAGCCTGGTTGCTAGAGATAGGAGCATCAGGAGTTCTAGGTGATCCTCAACTCCATAAAGAATCTCAGGTCTCCCTGGGATACATGACACTGTTTCAGAAAAGGAGCAGAAGAAAAGAAAAGTATAAATGGCAATATTTCATCAAGATTAGTAACTCAAATGATTTTATTGAATTGGCTTTAAGTATTAGAAAAACCTTGTAGTTTGGAGAAAATAATTCTCAGTTCACTCATTGAACTTTAGAAATTCCTCTTAACTCTACTAAGTTATAATGAATCAAGTGATTATCAGTAGATAATACTTATTTATTTTGTACAGAGTAAAACCATCTTCATTTATTTAGAGAACAATCAAATGAAATACAGAATATAAAGGGGAAGGGAAAATAGGATATTAGATATAAAACAAAATCTTTACTATAGTTACTAATATTTCTCTGATAAAAAGAAAACAAACTAACCTCTAAAGCAGTAGATTAACAGAGAGGTGGATCTCTTTGAAACTTTATCAAAAGATAAATACTTTGAACAAATTAAATTGCTCCAGACATTTGAGTTTTTAGAAAGAGGTAATTCCATATTAATGAAAAATAGAACACTAAGGGTAAAATTATTCAATACAAATAATAGATTGTAGGATAAATTAGTATATACCTATATGCATATATATATATATATGTGTGTGTGTGTGTGTGTATACACAAACACTCCTCTCAAACTCAAAACATAAAATTTGAGTTGTCTAAGTTTTGTGTAAATTTTATTTTTTCCTCACCCCTACCAGCTCATTGCTTAGAATTTGAAGTTTCATATACAGTCTTGAAACAATACCAGAATGTGGAGAATCACATAATCACAGACTGACATTGTACAATATGTTATTTAGTCACGCTATTTATATTCCTGTGTCATTAATATGGATGCCATATAATCTAAAAGAACAGCAGTTATGTAGTTCAAAAGTTAATCCTACTATAAAAGCCAAACATGAAAACTTCCTGTTAAATTGCTTAAATTCTTGAAGTAAGTATTAACAGTTTCCTGCCTGGTATCTTACTCTTGCAGACAAAATGCACTCTGATAAACAACTTGTATTATTTTTGCTGCTCAAAAGGAATTTGCCTTCCTCTTTAATTGTGGTATCCAAACTGAGTGTCAAAGCAAGATGTCCATAAATATGCAATAGAGCTTTGTCCCTTAACACCCTTTTCAATAATGTTAGTATCTATTTAGAATACAAAAAATTAGAAAAAAATACTTTTTATAATATGTTTACAATTCTGTATTGATAGTATTTGAATGGAAATAATTACTTTCTAAAAATACTGTTAGGCAAATTAGGTTTTCAGTTATTGTGGCTATGAAATATTATCAAAATATCTCTTACATTTTAAGAAACTGTAGCTTTCCTGGACCTCAAAGCCAGTTAATAGTGCACCTTGAAGTCACTTCAGACTTAAAACTGTTTCATGTTATGTACTCGAATTGTCTGCTTAGCTTGACTTTAACAGAAAAAAGTGACAACCTTACTTCCTTTGGATTTCCCACATAATTAACTTTCACAGCCTAAGATAATCAATGCATACCTACAATTTGAAATTATATACTCTTCCTTGATACTAACATAGACTATTATTGTGTATTGTTTGGTGAAAGCAGCAAATAAAGAAGTTGAAAACAACGTTTTAAAACCTAACATAAGGATTAAAAGCAGTGGATTTTGGTTGGCCAACAATGATGTTTGTTGCTTCAATAAGTTGGGATTAGGTGGAATCAGTGACTTACTACCTTATAAAATTCTGTTATAAAGGTTCCGGTAAGGTATGCCATTCCTTCTTCATGTGATATATTCTATGCTGTTTGATAGATACAAAGAAAATTCTTTATCAGTGACAGATTCAGAGACTCACATATATAAACACAGAAGGACAGATACATATTCAGGAACAGATTCAGACTCATACAACAAACAGAAGAGAACACACAGGGAGTATTAAGTAGAGAATTCAAATCTGGACTCACTCTTGGTTAAATGACTCCAAGGGTAAGTTTTTTTTTTCCCTTAATGAGACACCAATGCATTATTGGTGATGCATAGAGTTAATCATTAATGAATGAAAAGGATAGTTGAGTTGATAGAATAAGGAAAACAGCTTGCCTGCCCTGATTTGGGTGTTTTTTATCCACAATCAGCTTTGGATACATACTGCAAGCCTACACATAAAAGTTTCTATCTCAGTCTTATAAATAATCAGAATATAATAAACAAAATATTTAGTTTATAAATATTACATAAAATTAAGTACAGATCATAAATGATTGTGGTGGTTTAGATTAATGAAGACCAATGGTAATAGATATTTGAACAACTTTAATGGAAAAAACAGACTCACGAAACCAAGGTACCAGCAGAGTACAAGAAGCAGGAAGGGGCCTGTGGCTTCTGTGCTCCCAATTTATCAGTAAACAATCGCCCGAGGCGAGCCCGCCCCCAATGGGCGGGCTTATCCCTACATCTCCCCCTTTCTGTCTAAATAAGACAGAACTAAACCAAATACAACTATAAACAATAATAACAAATAATAGATATAACAAACAATATTGAGAACAAAAGTTTTACCAGACATTCTATCTCAAGGAGTCTAAATAATGTAGAGAGTAATTACAGTTATATAATCTTCAACTTCGTCAAAGATCTGAGAAGGGAATAAATATTACTTAACAAATGAGAGATGTCCAAAATGTGCCATAAATGACAGAGACAACAGACTACCTGGGCAATCACCCAAATTCCCGTTCGCAATGTTGAGTCAACCAACATTGGCTAAGGCCTAACATAACTGACATACCATTATCAAATGCAAGGAACTTTCTTAGAATTATCCTACCCTGTCTTGGCAAGATAAGAAAATCCTGTTTCATATCTTCCTCAGTAGATGAGGTACAGGCTGTTCTTAACCCAAGGCCAGTTCTGCCAAGAAGAAAAGCTCCCAGTGGAGTGACTTTGGTGCTCAATGTTCTCTCGGGAGTAGAGTGGCATTGCCAGGAGTAATTGTGTCTCGTTGGCACAGAATTCTCAGTTAGATTAAAGGCCATTTTCTACAGCTCTTTAAACAGGCAGAAGATTATACTATCTATACTAAATATAATCTCTATGTAACTAGAAGACCTGATAAACCTAAAAATAAACACGACAAACATATAATTCCTAATACCTATCTAACTTGAAGACTAAGAGAATAAACAACTGTGCAATATATAAAGACAATGATCTTCACCTGTAAACAATGTCATTACATATCAAATGTAAACAATGTTATTACATAAATAGTATCAGAGGTAGAAATGTACATTGTGATATGGTAGATGTATCAATACAATATAAGCATACTCTTATACAAAAATAGAGGTAGGGACACTCACATTCAATATTTAATATGTCAATATACAGGAAAGAGTACCAATACAATTTTCCAAAAACAGTAACACACAAATACCAATCATCCCATCAAACCAGTTAATTCCCCCCCCTTTTTTTGAACATACCCCTAAATCCATAAAACATCTCCCCATCCCCTCAACCCCAAACCAACCACTAAAAAATGTTTCTAACATTGAGGGCAAACTCTGTTAGGAGAGGGGACGTCGTCCTCTAAGATTGCTTCAAGCTGACATAGGGGCAATGTTCTCCTTAGGGGCTCCTGTGAAAGCAAATGATTGTAAAATTCCCAAATTAAACTTTGACCTAAGAAAATTATAACTAGTCCCTGAGCGCTTTGAGAAGGTCCGGCCAGAGTGTTGTCAAAAATGTTCACCATTCAAAATGTCTTCTGCAGTTGGTACCAAAAAACAGGTCTCATATTAGCGCGTAAAAAAGAGAAAAAAAATATTCATGACATCATAAAAACTAGGTTGAGTTGATGTTGTGGGGCCCCATCTTCATCCTGGAAACTTCAAAAATTACTGTTGGAAAATTTGTTGCTTGTTATGGGAAATTTAAACATTAACAACAAGGACATATACTGACATATACAGAAAGACACAGATATGAGGAAAAGCAAAGAAAGTTTATCAAGTATATAATTATCCTCATTCTGTCCTATTTCATGGCTCCTGATCTGAGACAAAACTCTGAGATATTTCTTATCAAAAGGCTTGGAATTGAAGAGGGACTGAGCCATAGTCCAACTCCAAAACCAGCTCTACATATTTATAAAGAAGTGTTCAATAAAACACACACACACACACACACACATATATGT